CCAGCTTTGTCATCCGGTCATCTGGGGCAGGGGCTGCTGCTGGCTCGGCAAACTGGCGCTGGGGCTGCTGGAATGGTTGCCCCTACCTAGACTGGTAGGGCTGCTGCTGTGGGGCTGGCCCCTGTCAAGCCTGGAAGGGCTGCCTCTGCTGAAAACCACCTGTTGGTGCTGGGAAACCAGGTGGTTTAGTGGTGTTGCTGCTCCAGGCGAAGTTGGGATGCTGGCGCCACCCCTCATTATAAGTGTTGCTGTACGGGTCGAGGCGCCGAGCATTGGCGATGAAGTCCAACTGCTCTTGGGGAGTGGTAGACTCTCTCATAGCCTGGCAGTCCTCCACTAGGTGATTCGAGCTCTCACACCACTGACATTGAGCAACTGGAGGTGTAGCCAAACCTCTGCCCGGAATAAGACTGTTGGGCTGCTTCAATGTCTGCACTAGCTCAGCTACCTGCTGCTCGAGCCCGGATCTGGTCTCCATGGCGTGCACACCACGGTCCCGGGACTGTCTGTCTCGGCTACCCTGTCCCCAAGAATGATCTCTGGCAGCCAAAGTACTGATCATCTGGTTCAGCTCGGGTGGAGTCTTAGTAAGAATATCCCCTCCTGGGCATAGAGACTCAATCACCCTCTGGCTATCTGGAGAGAGGGCACTGTAGAAGTTCCCCACTGTGAATGCATCACTGAAGCCATGATGGGGACACTGCCAGAAATAGCCCATGTACCGCTCCCAAGCATCACGAAGTGACTCATCTGGCTCTTGGCGGAAGTGAGTGATCTCCCGCTGGATCTCTGTAGTCTTCGATGTCGGATAGTACCTGTGCACAAACTTGTCAGCTAGATCGTCCCAAGAGGTGATGGACAATGGGGGCTGGGTCTCCAACCACCTCTTAGCATTCCCCGCCAGAGAATGGGGGAAGAGATGAAGGCGGATTGCATCATCCGGGACACCATTCAGCTTGAACCCGTTCGTCAGCTGCAGAAAACGGGAGAGATGTACCCTGGCCTCCTCATCCTTCAAGCCATGGAACTGGATAGAAGATGTAATGAGCTGAATCCAGCATGGCTTGATCTCGAAGTTGTTTGCTGGAATAGGCGGGTAGAGGATGACCGGGCGGATGTCAGCAATCAGCGGAGTGTAATAGTACTCCAAGGTGGGACCCGGCTGCGGTGGATGATGAACTCCATGATCCTCGGGTATGGGGTTGTTCCCCAGGACCTGATTCACCGGGGGAGCCTGCTGAGGATTCCCCTGGTGCTGATTGTAATCTCCGTCCATCCCGTACTCTTCTTCAGAATCGCTACTCAGGTGGCTGTCTATGCGCTCTTCCGTAGCCAGTCTAGCTCGGTGTTGTCTCCTGAGCTGGCGACAGGTGCGGTCAATCTCTGGATTCAACGACAGTAAACCTCCTGACTGGCTACGGGTCATGCACTACCTGCACACACTCAAGCAAGCAAACCCGTGAAGGCACAAGTGGGACAAAGCGAACAAAGCAAAAAGAAAAGCTAAATTAATAGAAATCACTTTTCTTCAACAACCTAGCCGTCCCCGGCAACGCCGCCAAAAACTTGACTCACTTCTACTGTCACTCTAGGAATTGGCCAAGTGAAACCATTTCCTAAAGTGCAGTATAGCGGGTTTGGGTTTAAATGTCAACCCGGGTCCTAGATTTGATGACTACTCGGTGAATTCTTGTTATCTAGCAATGAAACTTTAATGCAAGTCTAAACTAACAAACTAACAAAGCAAGTAAACAGTTGTATTCAGGTTAAGAGAGGTCACCCGGATATGGTTCCCCCTAGACTGCAGTTAAGCCGGATTGTAATTACCAAGTTCAGTTTCTATGATAGTTATACTGCGGAAGGTTCTTAAACAGCCTGAAGTCTCGACTAAAGGTCTTCAGACCCTCTCAATCTGAGTCTCTATCAGGCGACTAACCTCCACCGGAGTAAACAGATTGAGGCCCTAAGAACAAAACCTCCACTACCGAAGTGAATCCGGTACAGAATAGTGAGTTGGCTCCTCGACTAAAGTCACCAACTCCCTACCTTCAATCAAGGATGCTCTATCAACCTAGGCAAATATTCTCATTCTAGGTTAAAGCAGAAACAACAGGAATTTGATCAGGATTCATGCCATTCAATCATTCAAACCTCAATCGAATATAATCAAATCATAGAATCAGTACTTGGGTTCATACAATCAAAGCCTAACATACAAATCTAGGGTTCTCCATACCCAGATGAATGGGAGAACTACTCCATGGAGAAAGAGGCAAAAGCAGAATCAGACGCGGAATTCATACTGTGAAGGATGGATTCCTGCTCCTGGACGTTGATTGGCACTTCTCCAAGCTCAAACTGGCCTCCAATGATGATGAAGATCAATCTAGGGCACTTGGAGACTCTTGTTCGTCACTTTCTCTCTCTAGGAATCGTTTTGTCTCTCTAAAACTCGAATCCCCTTCTATTTTGGCTGAAATCTGCTTAAAAGGGCATCAGTGGCCAAAGCACAGTCAAGGGCACGGCCGTGTAATGCCTCAGCCCGCCCGTGCTTTGGCTAGTGTTAATTACACTAGGAGAAACACGGCCGTGCTTTTGGGAGGACACGGTCGTGCTTTGGTGAAGCACGCCTGTGTTCTATCTCAGCCCTGCCCGTGTTTTGGCCAATGTTTGCCAAACTCGAATTAGCTCTCGGCAGTAAAAGCACGGTCTCAGAACACGGCCGTGTTCTGGTTTAGGTGTGCCCGTGTTTTGGCTCAGTTTCACCGAAATGACTTCCGAATGCCCCGAAACTCGTGCTTAGCCTTCCCTTTTACACCTGGGACCTGAAACATGACAAAATAGCACAACCCGGCGTAAAATAGGCCAAAATACACGACTATGCCTCTCAAACGGATAAGAACTAGGGGCGCAAATATGTGCAATTACATCGTTATCAGAGATATAAACTGCATGTGTTTTGAACTTCAATGTGCCATGATCACAGTTGGGATCATAACACAAGCTCTTGTCGAAACTTGTAGCACCTTCATCTTCAGCAATAATCCCTCTAACATGAGTAGAATCTTCAGAGGCCCTATACTCCGTATCAACTGATCCTTCATCATTGATCTCATGATCCACGTTCCTATGTTCCTCACTCCTAACAATGATGTCGTCAATCTCCAAACTCTCATCAAGCTCCACAGTCTCAGCTGCCGATCCACCCTCAATGCTAGCACTATCTGAAGCCACATCATCATGATGGTTGACATCCCACGCAAATAATTGATTCACTGAACTTCCTTCACCATCAAGCTCTGCTTTAAATCTTCTAATTCTTCACCGAGCATAAGCTCTAATTTCATGGTACTCCTCGTCAGATGTATGAGCATCATCTTCGTCTAGCCGAACAAATTCAGGTGCAGCTGAATTGTCTCCAAATGCATCTTCCCCTTCAGGAAAATGGCCATAATTGTCTCCCATATAACCCAGCTCTCCAAGATCCCTTTTTGCCTCAAAGTACACCCTTATATCTCCAGTTCCAACCAAGGGAAGCAATCCCGTTACAACCTCCACATCCGAAATATATTCATGCAATCCAGTAGCCATACTTTCCTCGGGTGTCAAGTACCAATGTACCATAGTCTCTCGACGAAAATATACTCCAAATCTTCAATCAAAGTCTTCGTCAATTCAAAATAGGACAAGACATCGCGATTCACATTCACGACATCGACAACCCCCCCCCCCCAACGTATTGTGGAACATCCCCTGACATATCCATTGCGCCTTCACGATACATAATAAGCTCAATAATGTCGTCCATTCTAGCAAAGAGAAACAAAAAATTCATACGCATTTGATTAATCATTGTTTAACTCACTTAACCCGACAAAGACAAAGGGAAAGCATTACTTTAATCTCAATTTCCAACTTTGAACCCGACCAATGCTGGTCACTAGCATTACTTTACTTGAAAAAACTCTAATCCTTGTATTTATCAAGGATTAAAAAAGAAAAGAAATGGACAGAAAGGGATTGCTTACGTTGCTGGTGGGAACCACGATCTCGCGGTTGTGGTCCCTTTGGAATGTGGTCCTGTTTTCACCACATCGATTAAATCCGGAGAAGCAGAAATCGCGAGGAGGAGGCGGAAAGTGACCTCACGAACCCTTCGCTCGAGAGTAAAAGGGAGAAGGGTGGAAATTGATGGTGGTGGCGAGCTTAGAAGAACGCCTGCCGCTACATTTTCATCGGACGAGTGAGGAAATCGGCTTTGACGATGAAGGAAGGAGAAAGTGAGGGGGGTGACAGGTGATTTCCGTGGATAAGGTGGGTAAGCAGTTGTTCCCCGAAAAGTAAAATGCATCTTTCTTTGTTCAAAATGAAAAAAAGGGAAATGATAATAGGAGGAAAATTTAAAAAATTTAATTGAAAGTTGTTGATTTGGCAGTGACGTGGCTCGTTAACCGTTAGTCAACGCGTTTGACTGTCCAAGTTAACTGTCAAACATCGGGTTTGGCAAATTTCGTTATTTTGATGTATAGTTTGGGCTAGGATGTTATAGTAGAAAAGATTGACGAGGATGTTTATTATGGTCAAAGTTCAGACCATACAAATATATTAACTCTATTTTTTATTATGAAACAAATATAATAGTGGATATACCTACATTAAATGTGTAACTGGTTTGAAGATAGTTAATGAGAATCGTCTTTTTTGATTGTACGATTATTTGGACCCAAATAAATTTATTTGGGTCTACTCCAAATGAATTAGTACAAATTGCATTGTTCCAATTAAAACCAACCCAAACCCAAAATCATTAAAATTGCATGGAAGTTCATTACCAAACACTCATATAAGTCATAACAATTGGATCATATACCCAACGAATCGGAGCCATACCTAACGAAACATGCAATTCACCTAGTATTTACCATAGATGAATACTCACTATTTAACTATAATAATTTTCTCGTTTATACAATTTATTTTGATACAGTGCATGCCTCTCTGTTCTCAACAGAACTTGCATTGCATGGATACGAAGTTACAAAACAACACATAATAATAAGTGATTAGTATGAAAAGCTAAGCACACGATTTCGTAACCTCATTTCGGCAGCAGAATGAGCAGCAGCATAAATAAATATGGTCTGAACTCTGAAATAGCTTAGCTAGGGAGGGAGATTTGGCAGAAGCAGAATCGTTTTGGGTATAACACCATCCCCTACTTATAATTAGCTTCTAACATCCCTTTTTTCTTCTTCTCTCATTATTCTTTTCTTTTGTAACAGAGAGAGAGATAAATTCAGTTCAGTGGGAAAGAAGGAATGAAATGAATACATTCTGGCGGGTTTCTGCTGCTGCTGCTGCTTCTCATTATGCTGCTGCAGTTTGGAGTGGACCTATCAACGTACCCTATTGACTATGATGGGCAACAGCAGGCCAGAGATTGCAGAGAGAGAGAGCAAAGAAGAGAGAATTTTGCAAAAGTTGTATCGCACAGACAACAACAGCATATAATTAATGAAGAGAAAGAAGGAAGGAAGGGCGAGCAGAGCAGAGCAGCAGCAGTCAAATCGCCGAGCTACAGCACCATTCAAAGGCTGACGTGCCCTACGTGTTGTACCTTAATTTGCCGTATTCTCCACTTTCCCTTTTCGCCCCCCTCCCTTAAAAAATTACACATTTCTATTTATTTTACTTCCATTAATTTCCAGGGTTGGATTCCTTTCCCGATGCGGAATTTGAGTTAGTAGTCCGGCTACCGACGGCGACTCGGAGGTACAGGGCGGAATTGAAGACGCCTTCACCGTCCGACGGCAGCCATCTTTTCATGTGTGGGATTGATTGGTGCACAATGCAACTCTCCTAAGATTGACTTTCGCGTTGAAATCCGATCATAATTTTCGGGGTTTCGGTTAAAAAATCCAGCTGATGTGTCTCCTCTTGATAATAATGGGCTCGATTCAATGTTGTACTTGTATGAAAAATGAATTGAATGATTGATTATTTTTTTGATAATGGTGATTGATTAGAAAAAATGAAAAAGGAGAACGATACAGAGGACAAAGTAAAGGGGATCAACAAGATTGATCACCAAGACAGGGAAAGAAAAGTGCAGCAGGAAAGGGTTACAAAGCACTTTTCAAAAAAAAAAAAAAAGGGTTACAAAGCAAGCCCAGACCAAACCTCCGAAAGGGAGGAGGGACTCAAAGTGTATAAAAAGAAAAAGCAAAATGAGAGGTATCAATAAGAAAAACTATGGAAAATGAACAACCAAATGCTATGCACATCTGAGATATATTATATGATATACCCCCAACCCTGACAACCCAACTTGTGGATCTGAGCAAGGAATCGAGCCTATATTCGGGAAACAAGAAGTTGCAACACAAATGAATTTGAGCTACTACTCGGGATTAGGATTTTCGACTCGGAAAACTAATGTGTAAGGAAACCATGGAGGAAAGAATATAGCTACAAAAAAAGTTGTGTTTGTCATGAGATTAAATAAGTTGGACCGCTAAATATCTCTTTAAATTTACTATTATCGCCCTAATTTAAAATGTAAAAATGTTACATTATCCTTTGTTAATTTAACCAAATTCAATAAAACAAATCACCTCTAAAACCAAAATGTTCACCTGGTTGGTTATTTCAACACACTTGAAAGGTTATAATTATAATAGCTTAAATTATGCAGATTCATTCCTTTCATAGTAAACCCAACCAGCAATCGTTGGATTGGAGGGGAGGGAAGAGCCTAATTGGGGGATCGTTAAGTACCGGGTATCGTACCGGAAAAGTCAACGGTATGATATTTTATGATAAAACAGTGGTTTTACCGTAGTTGAACCGTTAGACCGTTAAATACCGCCTACCGATTTAGCCTCCAATACTAGTATTTCGTGGTTGAACCGTCGGTACGGTACGGTTTCATGGACTATGCTCTTAAGTCGTATGCCATAGGGCGTGGCCGTGGACGAATTGGCAGGGGAAGATGCGCACATTAAAATAAATAATAAAATCAACAATAGAAGAGAAGAGGATAAAAAAGTAATTTAAAATTTAAGTTATTACTATTATAGTAAAAAATTAGGACGACAATTAGCAATCCCAAACCATAAGTAAAAACAAACTAGGTAATGGAATCCAACCTACGATGTAAAACAACGAATTGAAAAGGATCAGTCTTTTGAGTAAAGATCAATAACTAAAGCATGGTTGAAGGTTCATTGCATTCAACATATGTTTTGCATAGTGTGGTAATCATCGATTACCAATTAAAATCAACCTTTCTTTTCATGGCTTTGGCATCAACACTCACCTAATTCACTTTAATCACTTACATATCTTAAGGCCAAGTTCAATGGGAGCCCTATAATTGGGGAAGTCCCCATTTATGGCGGATGTCTGGCTCCAACGCCGGACCATTAATGGCGATCGACGCTATTTTTGGAGGCGATCGGCATCTCCGACGCCAAATTTGGGGATGGGAATGCCGATTTCCCCATTTATGGAGACTGGAAAAAAGTTGTCCCGCCACCACTTTTTTTTTTGTAATTTAATTAAAATGCGTTCTTGACATACGAAAACAAATTTTCTAAGTTTTGTGTGTAAATCCAAATTAGTTCAATAATTTTTTGTAAAAAAAAACTTGTTCTCGGAATTTAAAAAATTTCTATTTAAAAATGATGACGAACTATACAAAAATTAACATAAAAATTATATTAAAGCTTCCCTAAGTACATTTTCCAGTAAATGAAAAACTAAAAAAAAAGAAGAGAAATACTCAAATTTGGAGAATGTAGCATTGAAGCAGAAGAGAAAAAAAAATGGAGATTATCCCCAAATTTAAGAACTAGCATTCAACTTAGCCTAAAGGACCAAACCTAAATTTGGGTTTAATGGTGGTCAATGGACCTTTTTCATCCATTCCACTCCATGTGACAGTGTTGTATGAACAGGCGAAGCCTGGTGCAGGCTTGATTTCTTGAACAGCTACTTCTCTCGTGGAGGTACAAATTTAGGGAGTGGATAAAGCCGCAACTTGATCCATGATTGGAATAGTATGACTGCCGAAAACCTGATTAATTAGTTGATTACGTACCCCATGCATTTGCATAGAATTATAGAAAGAATAATTTCATTTGATATGAGATTAATTATGAGTAAGTAGTAATTGGATATCAACAATTCTTTTCACAAGTAGCTGGCTAGAAGTAGAACGACCCTCATAAGTCGAGGGAAAAGAGTAATGATTGAAAGATTTTGTCCATGCATTGGCCCCATCGCCGTAGAATTATTATACCTTTCCCTAATTCTAAAGACATATGGGGGAATTAGGTAAAAGTGTTGAATAATTGGGCGTTTTTTTGCCTTTGTTGACCCATGAGACCACCATTAATTATGTGCATGCACAATGCAAAACCCAAATCTACCTAAACCTAAGCTAGATAATTAACAATGCAAAGGTTTCGGCTTGATTTGTCTTTCTTTCTTTATTCTTGTTGAGTGACTGACACGTATATATGACATAACCCCTTCATTTGGCTTTTTTTTGTTAAATATTATTTATTGTCCTAAACGCGGAACATTCTCTACTAATTCAACAATAGGGTTGCTACCTGCAAGGGAAGTTCTCAAGATGGAATTCAGATCACCTTAATTTAAGTACATAGAGACCCTATCTGTAAGTAAAATTCTCAGGTGGGAATTCAGATCAACTTCAATGTTGACTATTGATTTGAGTACATGGAAATGCCGGAATGTACAAATTTTAAATTTATAAGTTGGTTTTTGTTTGAAGTAACATGTAAGAAAACGAAATTAATTTTATTTATATGTAATCTCTTTCAACAATTTAAATTATTAGAACGGACGAATTCTTTAAGACCTTTACCCGTAAATGGTTTGCTAGGTAACATCAATAATCATTTGTTAATGTGCAATCTTTTGGGGGCAAAAAGTGGGAGCATTTTGCTTGAGGTAGAGAAGTTTCCCACTTATGCAAGTTGGCAGCCAAAGCTAGGATTTGGAGAGACAAGTACGTAATGTGAGAAGGAAACGCCTAGAGAAAGAGAGTTGCAAATGTAGACCTAAATTACTAAAAGGTGCTCATTAGAGGAGGCCTTTTCACTTGCATATATAAAAGTTGCTGTTTGACAAAACTCGTAGAAATTTTACAATTGCTTATTGATTACCATACCAAAAACGTGCTACAATATCCCAATTTTGAGCATTGTAAATTTATAAGTTAGAAAGGAAAACAAATGTCAACATAAGTATAATCTTTTGTTTGAATCTCTATGTAGTATATAGTCATTTTATCAATTACATATGTTCTTTATTATTTATAGGACGGAAGTAGGGAAAGTAATGTGTCCGGTTTGTTTAAACATAAATCCAAGTATGCAACACAGTGGATGCAACCATTTCAAAATTCCGGGAAAATACCCACTGAGTTTTGGAAAAGCAAACCCTATCCAACCCCAATAGATACCCATGACTTCACGAACATTACTATACAGTATTTCTCCGAACACCTATATAGTAATATTGTCAAAATTATTCTTACAGTTATATATTTACAAAGACTAAAGAAATCAATAAATTATACGTATTATTATGTGATACTGACATCAAAACTTAAAAATATCAATAGATTATTCATATTATCCTTGTTCCTAAAGTTTACATAGGGTAACAATTAGTCTTTACTAACACAAATTGCCCTAATAAATCCAAGCATACATTTATGGTCATGGAGCTCATACCATCCATTTACATTTTAGATAGTGTGCTGCCTATATTGATTAAAATGAAAAACTATTTGGAAGATTAAAACGCTTGGTGCAAGTTGAAAGGGATGAAAATGACGGGAGTGCCTTTTTGTGGTTGTAAAAACTAAAAAAAGCATTTGTTGGACTTTAGGCGTATCATTTTTAGGAAAGAATGTGGATTTCGCACTGGCAAAAGGTAATGTTAGAAACCTAGCTAGCTGGTGGCACAAGCCTTTGCCAAAATGTTCTAAACCAACACGTGTGGTTTTTGGTTAATAATATAGCTTTGTTTATTAATCATCAATAATTTAATCACTGTGTGGTTGTTAATTGTAATGTTGATTCTGGATCATGCGAGAAGGAAAGGGACTGATGGGGAGATTACAAATCCAAATACCCAAAAGAATCAACGTATTAGGTAAAGCCCGCAGCCCCACGACGATGAAGAATTCACAGCACTAGTTACACGTCTTAGCTAACTTTTTTCTTGTGATGGGACTGCATCATGCATAGGTCACAAGAGACCACAAATTTAATCGATTATCGGTGTGGCCTAATACAAATAACCTCGCACAAGGAAAATTCGGGTGTAAATTCTATCGTTGTAGAGAAATTTAGGTCTGCTTGCTTGTTCGTCTACAAGACTCGAACCATATCTCGTAGTTGTGGAGCTTCCCAGATCCTATTGTTCACTCAATTGCGTCACAAAGCGAACGTTTAACAGACGAGACGAGCAATCACCACATACTAACATCATGCCCATACTGAAATCCCAAAAACTATGAACTCATGAGACTGCTATTTTCAAAGTGTCCAGAATTTGAACAAAGGAAGAAACGAGCGAGAACAATGAAGCCACACAGGTCAATTCAGCAGCCTGGACTTTATTCTCAAACAAATGGTTCAGACATGAGTGAGAAGTAAAGAGTTATATCTTCTTTTCATTCATCGACATCATCCTTACAACCAACAAAAACTCGAACAGAAAGATGGGCCAAATTAGGGTCCCCGTCGACCACCTTCAACTTCGCGTACTTCCTGGTTAAAAAAAGCCACAAATTTACCAGTCAGGCTTTCGGGCAAACCGGAAACACACCTCTAAAGCAGAATCTATAGAGCATGAAGTACGCATCACAGAACAAAGGACACCCTAAGCTCAGTGGTCAAAACATATACTCAGGGACATGTCCACCCAATGGATTGAAAGGCATGACACCCTTTCCATTTCAACTACAAGCATTGCCCTTATAGAACAAACCAAAGATAGAGAGAACAAATCAAAGTTATGATTTACCATCTCAATCATGAACAAGCATTGCATTTCTTCATGCAAATTCAACCTAACTTAGTGCTTTCCATTATAAAAAAAAAAAACCTAACTTAGTGCTTTCACAAACTTCAGGCAGTTCAATTCCATGACAAAGGAGAAAAGGTTTTGAATGAGTAATTTGGACATTTGTACTCTATTTGAATTGAAACAGTGAAATTTTTTGTAACAAACATTCAAGGGTATACAGCTACCAGCTGAGTAACAAAGACAAAATATGATGACAATCAAGAAATCAAGGAGTTTCAAAACATCCTTAACCGGATCCCAAGTTTCCATTTGCTGAAGTTAGCACCCAGCTAACTGAAAGTGGATCAATATCCAGAAAGAAGGGGATATATTAAGACACTATTGGTCCATCATAGACCATAGACAAGCTCGGTCAACGAATGGATGTAGAAGACAGTAAACATAAATATATCATGACGAAGCAAGGGAGAGGGAGACATACTTCATTCTCCATCTTTACTAAAAGGAAAATTTGGCCAATAACACAGCCATACGAGACAATAACCAAGGATGAATTTGATCCACTGTAGTTTACACACTAGAGTACACTGGCTGAGAAATACATCCAGAGTGCCCTTGCATCCAAGTAGAATCAAGATTCAAAATTTTAACGATTTGTACAACCCAGGGGAACAATTGCGTATAAATACCATTACTCAGGCTGCTTAGTACTCACAAAGAACGTGTATGTAAAATTGTTTAATACAATGAACAGTCCAAGTAAAACACCATTATTTGTAACAGCATACCCTACTACTGCTTTCCTGGTGAGGATGACAACATTAACGAATGGGTTAGTTTTCTTAAGCATTGCTTTGATTCCTGGTTCTCATTTGACGTGAGTAGTTATTAACAAAAAGGTGCAGGCTAAAATGACGGAACAAATCCTCTTCCATGAAAAAGGAAGCAAATTCCTCCTCCGCTTATCTCATTACCTACCTTTATTCGCTTATCCCACACAAGTAGATCAGTCTCCCCTGAAGAAAGAGGCTTCAGGTATCAATAGAAAAGGCCTTCCATCCTCCTCCAAATATTAACTCAGTTTATGTAGAAATGTAAGTTCAGTAAAGGTTGTCTTTCCGGAACTCAACAAGAGGACTTGCTTTTAATCAACTCTAACATATTTTCTCAAGTTAATCCCTCAACCAAGAACAATGAGTTTCTAAAGCATGTATCCACAATTATTGTCTCCATATACCAAACTTGGGAAGATAAATTGCTAAAATCCTCTGAATCTCGCACAATTTTTCTCGATCGTCCAAACCTAATGAAAAATCTGTCTAAAGGAAGCATGCAAATCCTCAAGCCAGCAGCAAGGGCTTCAAACACATTGTCTATTATAACTTGTATTGCAAACTGAAAGGCCTAGAGGAAAGTGACCCACAACTCACAAGGTTCCTAAAACAGAGTATTAGTGCCTTTTCTCACGCAAAATGTGATCAAGAAATTTACTATCCGGCCATTACCCAACAGGATTAAGAACTGAATCTACCATTCAGGAAAAATACCAAATCTATCAAGAACTAAGTCTGCAATTCACTAAATCCAAGTCTAATTAACAGAAAAATGATCAAAACATATGGCTCCTAGGTGAAAATCACGAGTAGTCCCAGCAGAAGGACCAGAAGAAACAAAGGAAAAAAAGGGAACCTAATACAAGAGAACAACGAACACAAGCACCACCTCGATTAAAATTCGAGCAACTTCCTGGAAAGCGCATTAGCAAATGAGAGATGTCCTAATCCGAATTGAGGGAAATTGAGGCATGAAAGAAGTCGAATTGATCAAAGAAGAATACCAGGAGTGGTTGGGTCTAGGCATTGGCAGTCTTGGGGATGAGACCGATAGCAACACCTCCTTTGTTAGGTAGTTTCAAATTGGCCTCCTTTTCGCGGATCTTCTGCATCTGGAGCATCCTCTCCATCACGAGCTCGTACTCGCACTTCTCGTAGGAATGGCGCTCGTTCTCGCACTTCCAAGGCAAATAGAACTCGGCCTGGCGGCACTTATTGAGCGGGATGAGAAGGTGGGCGCACTGGTCTCTGTACGCCATGGGTACTCTCGCTTCCACCATCTCCGCCTGCGTTGCGATCATGGGCTTCGATGATCCTGGTGCTTCCATTGCTGCAACGTTTCCACTGAAATTTGCCCTCCAATCGACGAACGTATGAACGATGAAGAAGATGAAAAATGGGGGATTTTGATCTGTTGCCTTTCTTTCTCCTTTTCTCGCTGCTGGCGCTGCTGAGGACAGAAGGGGAAAACTGAGAAAGATTCTCAAGAGGACCAAAGCCCAATTGAAGCTCGTCGCATGGGCTCAAATAATACGAGCTTTCTGCTGGGCCAATCTTGGCTCAGAACTTCCCCCGGCTCAATTAATCAACCGGCAAGATTCAACAAGTTTCTTTCCAATTTCCACATGGCCCATTGCTGCTGTGTATTTAACTTCATTGGTGCCGGCCCATGATTTTACCATTTACCAGTGTTGCCTTGCCCAGCACGTCGAGTAGTTTTCGCCATCTAAATTAATGTATACATAGATTATTTCAAATAACTCATACTTAATTGCTAACATAACCCATTAGTCTTAACTCTTAATACAAATAGGGGATTTGAGGACCTATGAGTAGGGGTGGGCAACGGGACGGGACGGGTTACCCGTCCCGTTTTAAACGGGTACCCAGTCCCATTTGGAGGCCAAAGTCCTTCCCATGTCCCAAACTCATATGGGAAACGGGTATCCATTATCCGTACGGGACGGATAACGGGTACCCATAATACCCATAAATACCCAAAGTTTCATTCCCTTGGCTGGCTTCATTCCCTTGATTAGCCATGGAAACTATAAACCAAATCAACATAAACCAAATAGACAGATGCTGGAAATTAGAAACATAATTAGTAATTAGCAGAACAAACCTAACTAGTAATTAGAGTCCAGAATATGTACTATAAGTAGAAAAGAGAATGGCAGCTGCATACCTAAATAGATAACAACGCCGGGTGAATGGTGATGCTGCTGATATTCCCCCTGCTCCTGGCTGGGAAAGTTGGCTGCTGCTGGTTTGCTATTGGAGGCAGCGCAGCAGAGTGAGAAGAAGGAAGCCGCCGCGGCCCGCACCGGTGAATGAAGGAGGAAGCGCGCGGAGCGGCGGAGGCGGAGCTAGCGAACTAGGTCTCGCTGTCGGCCTGTCGCTGAGGCTGGCGCTGCGGCTGCGCTGGGTGGAGGACGCTGTCTCATACTCTCGCTGCTGACTGTCTCGCAGTTAAGTGAAAGCCGAAAGGGAATAGGCAGCCAGGCAGGGTAAGGGTCGACTAAGGGTAAGGGCCGAAATGGCCAACGCCCAATGCCACATTTCTGAATTAGTGAATTGGGTTGGGGTGTTGGGCTGTGGGCTATTTCTGGTAAATGGGTATAACGGGTACCCACATTACCCAAACGGGTATTTGCGGGTAACCCTCGGGTACCCATATTAGGAATGTACAATCCCAAATCCCATCCGTTATAATAATACGGGTAATATGGGTACCTGTAACCCTTAAAAAACGGGACGGGTACGGGTATACCCAAATACCCGTTTCCCGTTGCCCACCCCTAGCCTATGAGGCATGAGCCATGGCTCATTCAAATTACTCATTCATCCATAACTGTTTGGATTTTTATGAATTGATCAGTCTCAAATCACACTTTAATAATTCGAGACGATCCCTAATTACATTATATAAGCTCATGCGAACTCCTAATTTCCCTCTTTCGTCGGCACATGTTTAGGACCTAAGATCATCTACCACTCTCAACTCCTCCTAACTTCGGAGCCAAACAGATGATTTTGTATGATTCGAACTTTAAACTATCAACTAAACCATAAGGGCATATGTGATAAAATTGATCTAGCAGTAGTGCCTTTGACTTCTAGCTAGTTCAGATCCCTTCGTCCGATACTCTTTCGCCAGAAAATTTTGTGAAGAACCTACATATTTTTTGTACAAAAAATTTCAATATGAGTTTTTCGACACCAATTTAATAATTATAGCCGATACTCATTCATTAGACTTAAACGACACCTCTCTTCAACAATTCTGGATCCGCCACTAATCCAGCCTGTATCACACCTAATCTTTGTATTCAAATGAGCAGCAAGTACTCTGTACCTATCTCTAAACTTAACAATAAGTGTAGTCACTTTGGACCCAAAAGAAATCTTGCTTATGAGTTATGCACATACTGATATTTTTCGTCCCCTTCAGTTTAGCCAGTCAGCCAGTGCACCGATCGAAACAATTTAATTGGCAATTGACTGATGAAAAAACGACATGCATGCATGCCAGCCAGGTCATAAAGGTAAACATCAAACATGCATACACCACAAGTTGCCTGTTGATATTTTCCAAGTCTCTAACCTAGTCAAGTCTTGTAGTCTTTCATTTTTTTACCGACAATAATAATAATTGATTAGGACATAGGAATTGACTTTTCAGTTAGTTATATATACAAATCGCGTTTTCATTGCTATTACTACAATACGTAACTGGTAGTTATATATACAATTAATGAGGCTGAACTTTCTAATTCTTTCAAAATGGACAGTAGCCATCTATCAACTTCGTTGAACCCGTCTCCTTATTGAAGTTTTTACAATTGACCAAATTATATGTGCCTTTTATCATTGCTGACATTGCATCTTTGCCATTTAATCTCTAGTCATCGGAAACGAAATTATGTTAGTAAATCATATATAATTGATAATTAATCTCTCCTAACAACTCGGATCATAAAATATCATAACATAGATGGACATCGTGGGTCATTTTAAAAGATCAACAAAAGTCATTTTATGATTTGTTTTTCGATAAAAAAAAACTCATTTAGTATTTAGTGGTTACATTGAAGGTTGCAATGCTTCGTTCCATATCAAACGGACATCTGGACCGGATCATACCAAACTGAATATAATACTATTCGGTATTTTCCATAAATTTATAAATACAGAAGAAAAAAGGACTGAATAGATATTTGACCCGGGCCAAACCCAATAATAATTCGTGCTAAGATTTCTTGTACTACTGGACCATGGTTCTCATGGTTTGGTTTGTTCTATACTGGATCATACGGTTGGACAACCTTAATTGTATCCCCTTTTGGCAGACTACAAGTAACTCTACTACTATTTTTCGAGTTCGTGAAACCGTATCGTACCGATAGTCCAATAAAAAAAATAGCATATCAAAGTATGAACCGATAGGCGATTTTACCTATATAAAACGGTTGAACCACAACTAAACTATGATTTCAACACAAAATATCCTAACACTAACGATTGTGGTTAAACCTCCACTACGGGTTTACCATACTTAGTGTTTTTATATGCCAACTAATGGCATTTAGTGTTTTTTTTTAATATGAATGGCATTTGGCCCATGCGGCGATGCTCGTAAAAACTCTTAGGGCTAATTCTTTTCGGACGTCCAAACTATTCAAAAAGTGTAATTTGTGTTCTAAACTATTTAATATGACAAATTTTGCACAAATCATTTTTTATTATTGTTGACCGACGTTGATCGCTAGTATTTAACAAAATCTAGTCAACATCTATTTGATTTGTGGCAGATTTGTTATGTTGAATAGTTTAGGACTCAAATATCATGAAACATATATAGTTTGTGCTAGATTTGTCATATTGAATAGTTTGAAACACAAATGATACTTGTAATATAGTTTGGGCTTCTTAGTGAAATTAGCGCAAATTCTTAACCAGCTAGTACTATTATTAGTTGGTTCCAAACTTGGAGAAGAAGGTGGTGGCCGGTGGGAGGGAGAGTAGTCATAAAGGGCGGACGACGAGTGCTATTTATTAGACTGATAGGACTCGCCGCGTCCGCCTCCGTTCATGATTTTCAGGGAAAAGTCCGCCGCGAGAACTTTCCCATTCCCATCGCGCCGGCGAAACAAGTTCTAGTTAAAAGTAGTAAAAACCATCAACACTACTTTGGAACTTGGAAGCAGCTACGAAAGGAACATTTACACGTTTTTCTACATCATTGAATTTGGGTACCGTGGTCTTTCTCTCTATAAGATTCTACCGCCTGCTTCTATGGTAAAATTAAAAATCCACCGGCCGCCGCCTAAAAACCCTTACACACCCCCGGTTTTTGTTTCATCTTAATCTAATTCCACGCTTAATTAATTTATTTCCCATGCATGTGCCTTGTGACTTGTGTAGTAACTGCAAATTAATCTCACTATCTAATAAAATATATTAATTACTGATTAATTACTATGAGGAGTTCTAGATTATCTTTTATAAATTTGAGGGTATCTGTTTTCCGGCGAGGACAATTTTGGTGTTTGAACTTAATGAATGCACCTTTGACTTCTTGAACAACGACAATCAATACGGTTCACACCTCTCCGAACAATGCTCGAACGAGGGTGTTTGATGTTTTTGATGGTTTTTTGAGAACAAGCTACGTTAATTACTACTACTCCTATGGAGGTTCAACGAGAGCTCCGAAAATTAAGGTTATGGCTAATTTGCAGAGAAAAGATAAAGTTTGACATAATGTGTCAAATGGTTGGTTGTGGAACACTTTTCTCATCTTCGTTTCTCCTATTTATAGCCACCAGGTGTAACTGCCTTGGTAATCGTCGTAGTAACTGCTAGCTGGCCTCTTGCTCCAAACCGCCTCGGGGTCCCTTGTCCCGCCTTGGTGACTAGTTGGTAACCGTCGCCTTGGAGGCCCTGCTTCATACCCCCTTGGGGTCATGGTGCCTTGTCGCCTTGTTTGGCTACCAAGCTTGTCTTGCCGGCTTGATACCCCTTTGGCTCCATGTTTAGCCAAATTTCATGTCTTGGTACCAAGCCCGCCTTGCCGGCATGGTACCCTCTTTGGCTCTATACTTAGCCAAATTCAATGCATTTTTATATCGTGATACCAAGCCCTGCCTTGTCGGTACCACCCATTATGGCCCCCTGGCCATTGGATTTCATACTTAGCCAATTTCCATACTTGGCTACCAGCCCTGTCTTGGCGGCTTGGTACCCCCTTGTGTCGCCTTGTTTCCATACTTAGTTTTTAGATGGCCTCCTATTTGGTACCCAGCTTACTGATGGCAATTTAAACCCGCCCTGCGGGTATTATCCGACCTGACCCGTGATGGGGCGGGTATTACCCGACCCGTAGTAGCGTGGGGCGGGGCATGGGTATCTACTTCTGACCCGCCCTGCTCCGCCCTACTCCGCCCCGCCCTGTTCTAGACTCATTTTATCTCAATTTCTTACAATATCTATACATATTTCTCCTATTTTGACTTTTCTTCAACTAGTTAGAGTCGATCTTTCAACTTGTTAGGCTCAATTATCCATTCTATTATCAATATTTTTCATTCTTAAAGTGTTTTTCCCTACGTTTTATTGTAAAAAGTAAAATTTACTTGTGTTTTTTTTGAACAACATGTAAGAGTGGGTCGACCCGCCCCGCCCCGTACCCGCGCGGGTTTTACCCGCCTCGACCCGTAGTAGCGTGGGACGGGGCATGGGAATTGAGGTACCCGCCCCGCCCCATTGCCATCACTAACCCAGCCGGGTACCTGGTCGTTTGGCACCCCATTCTGCCGCCTTGTTTCCAGACTTAGCTTTTGGATGACCCCCTATTTGGTACCCGATTGTTTGGCACCCCGTTGTGCCGGCTTGTTTCCAGGCTTAGCTTTTGGGAGCCAAATGTCATACCAAGGGGCGGAGGCATCATCCGACTATGGGGGCCAAAGAGACGATCGACCATCGTATATGAGAGAAGGAGTTTGGCCACCTAGGCCCAAAAACCCAACTCAACAAGGCCCAACTAGCTTTTTTAGTTATTAATGTTGAGCTCACCTTATAAATCCATTAAATCTCTTGTAGTTAATAATGTGGTACAAACTGATTTTTTTTATAGGTAAACCGTATCTAAACTATAAATTAACTGGAGTTTAATTTACCCAATTGACCCTTCGAGATTTGGAAGCCTAAATAATGTAATGGCAGTATGCTAGCAAGATATGATGAAAAAGCTAGCGAGCTATATAGATAGGATAAGAGAGAATTAAGAAGATGATGAAAAAAGCTTGTTAATTAGAGAAGACTGTGAACTAGTAGCTGGCAAATCCTAATAGAATCGGGTAACATTATATGGATTGGTTAAATTATAATTAAACCAACCCATCGTGATACAAGCGAACGATATTCAATCAATATTATGAATTAATGATCACTACTTAACAAAAGAGCTTCCAGATGTATATATATGCTCTGCATCACAGCACTTATTCGAATTTGTCTCATCATGTCGATCGGCAGCCATCAGAACTTGACAAACATAAACAGAATATATACACAGCAATATCACATATATTATCCATTAATTATATTTTGCGTAGGTTTTAGCATAAAGGCAAACTATATTCAATAATGTCTGGGCTTCATAAGTATGTATTTATGGCATGATTGTTGTTTCGTGAAAGGATATAGTATATAGTTATAAGAAATGAAGAGTATATTTGGATATGGAAGTTGGAAAACTAAAGTAATACTTAGCCAACTTAATTAATATTAGTTAGTGTCTTAGTGATCTAATACACTACAGGAAAAGTGAGTTTTCGCAACACGTAAAATATGTTGCATGAAGTGTTGAAAGTGTTGCATATGTAATATGCAACACTTATAGTAGTGTCCTCTATAGGTGGTGTTGCATAAAGTAATAGGTAACACTTTTTTCACTTTATGCAACACAAAAACTATGTGTTGCGTATGTGTACCACTTATGCAACACCGTTTTTGGCAACATCTCAACAAATTTATGCAACACTTTTAGCAAGTATATGCAACGTGCATATAATTTATTATTGACAAGTTTTTTCGTCGCATAAGACTAACACAATCGTGACAACTTTCTCTAGTAACAAATATTATACATTTGTGTGTGAATGTTGTGGTGAGTGAAGCTAGCTTTTGTGACAAGTTTGTGCGGACACCAACTTATATTAAATGTGACAGGTTGAATTTATCACAAATACATAGTTTTTGTGACAAAATTATAGTCACATATGCAACACCATTGGTGACACTTTTTTTTCATAAGCATTACACCTTTAGCAACCTTTTTGTTGTCACGAAAGTATATTTTTGTTACGGTGAATTTTATCACATAAAAGCAACACCAATAACGAATTTGTATTGGAAAGAATAATATATAAAAACAAGGATTAATTTGTCGCCAAAAAGTATTAAATTTTTCGTGGTAACATTAAACTCCATTAGAGCTCCAACTGATAAGCCTATCTACTCTTACACATATGTGTTAAAACTACGAATATACAATTATCTTATTCTTAAGCTATTCAAAATCATATATGAATCTTGAAAGCCTTGCTTCCTCGGCTGGCTTTGCCTTCTCCATCGTCTTCCATCTTGGGGTGATTTTTATCTTTTTTTTATTGAATGCCATACCCTTTGAAACAACCATCATTGACCAAAGAAGAAAGCTCTCAATTGAATTAGATATGGAGAAACGAACCTGCAGATTATAGTGAATAAAAGAATCAATCCATTAATCAACTCATACTGCAGTTATAAAGTCAAAGAGGAAGCGATATAAGTGTACCTGTAATAGGAATTAAACTCCAGCTACGTACAATGGGGGTTCTTAACGGAGATCTGACCATCTGGCGATGGTTCGGCTGGTTAGAGAGGAAGCCCTAAGCAGACAGGAGAACAACATAAGACTCCGAGTATGGGGAAAGATCGATCACGGCGGCCAAGGGTTTATAGAAGTTTGATTTTATTTTTGGTGGAAAGAAGTTTGATTTGATACAACAACTAATTGATCCCTTTTTTACCTATTATTATATTTAAAAGTGATCTACGAAATCCTCATAAGCAATAACAAATGATAAACGAATAAATGAGTAACAAAAAGAAGGTAACCATCAAAGAAGATAATTTACTATCGTTACCATAATTTGTAAGAAAAGATTATTAAATTGATTCTTTACGCAAAATTTTTGTTAAGAAGATAATTTCATTACTTACGTCTTCTTTCATTAAAAATTGTTTTTTTTTAAATAGTATTGTGTGTGACTACTTAAAGCCTCACAAAAGCACATTAAACATGTGTGACGGAAAATTAAGGTTTTATAAGAAATTAGTCCCTCACTAATGAAATTCATGTGTTTATAAATTAATGTAAATGAACATAAAATGGAGCATTGTTTATGAACTTCAATTGGTTAACTTTTAAAGTAACACTTTTTAGTATAACAGGATAACTAATTTGTCGAACATTATGATTTGAACCACTGGTATATGTGGTGTGGAAATTTCATTGATAGTTAATTTGTTGTTAACGAAGATTATGTGGGTCGTCAATATGATATTTATATTCGATGACAATATGTTAGTTATTAATAATAACTATTAAATTTATACAATAAGTAATAAAATTATAAAATGTTGCCTAAAGTGTAAGAATAGACAACATAATTTATTTTATTGCTCAAGTGTTGCATATTGTTAGGTATATGTAACAAAAAAAAAAATAGTGTTGGTAATTTGTGTTGTATAAGATATATATTATGCGACACATAACTTAAGTGTTGCATATGTATATTTTATGTAACACTTTTAAAAAGTGTTGCACAACAAGTGTTGCATAAACCCACTTTTCCCGTAGTGAATAGCGCTAGCAAAACCAATGTGATTAAGTTGTTCGGCGACTATGTTATTACTTTTTTTTTCTTTTTCCAAAAGATATCATATATCACTCCAATCAAGCAAGATAGTTACATTCTGGAAAGCAGCCAGACTCTGAAATCAAACAAGCGATTCCCATTCGGGTACAAAGAGAGGGCTTTTCTAGCTACCGAATGAGCTACCCTATTGTTATCTCGACCTACAAACCGCACACTAAACCCTGGATGGGCAGCAAAATATTGACAAATGTCTTCCAGGACTGCCCCCAAGTGATTGCCGCGCGAATCGGCTTGATTAATCTTGTCAATAATGACCTTCGCATCCCCCTCGAACCGAACATCAGCCAAACCCCACTCTAAACACCAAGTGATAGCCTCACGCAGCACTAGCAGCTCCACCACCATCGGCTCATCTATTCGTGCAAATTGCACAGCTTTAGCCCGAATGACCGTCCTACCCGGACCATAAAGAACCATTCCACCAGCCGAGTGTGACCCCCTCCTAGTTGCCCCGTCCCACATGCAAACCAACCGAGAGTCATCCACACGGGTCCCAGGATGGACCACCTGGAAAGACATCCTTGGCTGCTGGTCAACCGGCAGCCCCACCCATTCCTCATATTGCTGGTGAAATTGGCGCATTAAAGCCGGATCCCAAACTGTTTGCCTTCAAAGACAACCCAGTTTCGCGACCGCCAGATCCGCCAGAGTATGGCAACCATTGCCATAAACAGCGACGAATCATGGACAAGGGAGAGCATCCGCTTTAGAAACAGAGGAAACGTGTGCCGTGGCAAAGCCTCCCCTAAATAATCCAACCCCGAGTAGTCCCAGAGGGCCCGCGCCACCGGGCAGTAGAGAAACAAGTGCTCCATCGACTCGGGGGCCTCCCAGCAAACCGGACACCGGGGCAGCAGGGGAACCTTCTTTTCAATGAGCGCCTCTGTGGTTGGCGGCCCGATTAAAAATTTGCCAGACAAAGACTTAATTTAAGCTTTGGAGGGATCTTAGCTTCCCACAACCGGATCCAGCTTTTCCTATCCCTCCAACTCACCGACTCCCGCCACCCCCCCCCCCCTCCTCCTGTGAAGCTCAACTGCCAGATGATAAGCCGTCTTAACCGAGAACACCCCATCAGCAGTGTTATGCCAGATAAGTTTATCATCCACGTTCCGCCTCGGAAGTGGGATAGCCTTAATATACTTCAATTTCATTCTTATTTATTGTTCCATATCGTTTTAACATTAATGTCATTTTTGTAGCACAAAAAGCCTTTTTATCGATAGATCAATCATTGAGCAGCTACGACATTGAGCTATGTAATAACTATTTGATTCCGAACAAATTTGTATTCCTATGTAACAAAAGACATGAATCCCCAAACGTCCCCGTTCTAAAAAGGGAAATAATTATGGTATATTCTCTTGACGAGAATTCTATAAAAAAAGACTTTTTTTTTTAATTGAAACATCACGACGTGTTCACCATCATATGGCAAAAGTCAACGTAAATAAGCAAACAAAGGAACGATCGCATCTAAGGCAGACGGTTTGTTTTAGACTTCCAAAATGAATTTCCATTTATGTAAATCTGGTGGTCAGCTGGGCTTGTTCATACATACGGCGGTTCGTTTTTTTTTTTTTTTTGTGTAACGGAGACATTTTCGCTTTTCACCGGCGGGCGGGCGTCATGCATTGTGATTATTGGTTTGGTTTGACCGGCAGGAGGGCCGTCTCCACCTGCCGGCCGGGCGCCGGCGTCTTGTGAAAACGGAATATTGGAGACTCTGAGGTATAATTTTCTGTTCAAAGTCTTTGATAATTCCTCTCCTCGGCCTTGATTTGATTCAAGTCCAAGTTGACAATGGAGGATTGACGAGGAAATGGGGGGTCTTTAACAATGTTTGCTCTCTCTCTCTCTCTCTCTCTCTCTCTCTCCAAGAGATGACCAAAGCAATAACGTAAGAATAAGATATAGAAGATTGGGGAACAAAATATTCAGAATTATTGTTAATTTATTAGATGAATTATTTGTTTCCTTCTCTGGTCGATGTGGTCATTCTGAATTAATTGTTAATTTATTAGATGAGCTTAATGATTAATTAAGTAAGAAGATTTTCCAGTGTTATTAAAGCCGAGCCGAGCCGTTCGGCCCGACCGGTAAAGCCGTCAGCCGATCACAAAATCGGCTCGAAACAGTCTAAAAGCCGCTCCGGTTTTATGTAGCGGTTGAAGAGCGGCCGAGGCGGTTAACCGTTCGAGCCGATTGAGCCGCTCGTCCGGTTTTTGCCACTCAACCACTAAATTTAATTAAAAAAATTGCAGAAAATTAAAAATTGAAATAAACCAAAAACGTCAGCCTCTTAAACTGAATCTTTATTTCCATTTCACAATTTCGAAGGAAAGAGATGAGCTCTGATTAAGAAATGTCCACTATTTATACTGATAACGTTTATTAGGTACCGGTTCTTAAACGATTTTTAAACGGTCTAATGCCGGTTGGACCACTAAAGTGCGAGCCGTTCGCATTACCGGGTCATGCTCCGGTTCGGTTCTGATGAGATTTTCAAATACTGATTAGACTCTTTTAGCAGATTTCTTTCCATGAGGAGACCGTGAGGTAAATTTGAGGCATGTTAGCTTTTAATTTATGATTTAACATCATAGTTAAGCGGATAGTGAAAAACAGACAAAAATGTACAAAATCAAAGAGCGATGAAACCACAAATTGATTTGAGTGTAGTCGTATACATACGGGTGGTGGTAAAATTGAAGTCTAAGAAATCTACAAAGCATTGTCCTTCTAATTTTAAAGTTTGAAAAAAAAAGAAGTAAAGAAAGAGTTGATCACTTACTGTTGAGATGTAGATACAAGTATGACAACCACATTTTAAGGATGAGTAGTTACGACCTTCAAATACAAACCCTTTAAGCCATACTTTCGAGACCTAATGAGCTCAATAGAGACCCCTAAACCATTGTCTATACCAATGTTCGTTAAAATTTTCAAGTGGGTAATCGTTTCTTCTTCCTCATATCTCACTCACGCTTTCTCTTCTCTCAAAAACTCTCTCCAAATTCTTTTCATCCCAAGCAATAGACAGTCGAGTCTAGTCAACTCGACTTAAACACTTATGTTTTTTTAGATAATTAAAAAAGAACTTTTACAGTGATATAGTCGACAAAATTATCAAGATATTAGACTTGTCTAAACGAAATCCTCGATTCTATTCCATCCTTCGCCATAGCTTCCATGTAGACATCCTCTCCTCTCACCCTTATTTTGAAGGAATTGAAGAAAGTCACCTCACCTTTTTGTCCTTTTTCACCAAAGAAGGAAACAAGTCCATACTTTTCTTTAAAGAAATGTCTTTTTCAGACAACAAACGAAGAAGATAACCACCGTTAATCATGGAAGGGGAATGAAGGCAGGAAGCAGCCATGTAAGGAAGTGCCCTCAGAAGAAATATCAAAACGCAATAATACGAAACAACCAACGAAGCTTGAACATGGAAATGGTCCAACAAAAAACCTGTCACTTCCTTTCCCACTTGCACCCTCCCCCCACTTATTCAAACTTGGAATGCCTATTCCAAATCTCCACCCACCACTATATAAACAACTCCATCCCCTGTTTCCTTCTTCTCATCACTTCCTCTCCACTCCAAACCAAAATCAAAAGCAAACCCACATTCCCCTGTCCTGTTATCCGTTTTTTAAATCTGCAATCCACAGTCCAACCAGCAACAATGGTGCTCTCCAAGATCTCCTCCCAATCCGATGTCTCCGTCCACTCCACATTCGCCTCCCGCTACGTCCGCGAGTCCCTCCCGCGCTACCGGATGCCGGACAACTCCATCCCCAAGGAGGCCGCCTTCCAGATCATCAACGACGAGCTCATGCTCGACGGCCGCCCCCGCCTCAACCTCGCCTCCTTCGTCACCACCTGGATGGAGCCCGAGTGCGACAAGCTCATCATGGACGCACTCAACAAGAACTACGTCGACATGGACGAGTACCCCGTCACCACCGAGCTCCAGAACCGCTGCGTCAACATGATCGCCCACCTCTTCAACGCCCCACTCGGCGAATCCGAGGCCGCCGTCGGCGTCGGCACCGTCGGCTCCTCCGAGGCCATCATGCTCGCCGGCTTGGCCTTCAAGCGCAAGTGGCAGAACAAGCGCAGGGCCCTCGGCCTCCCCTGCGACAAGCCCAACATCGTCACCGGCGCCAATGTTCAGGTAACCAAAAAAAATTCCCACTTTACATCCGAAGGCTTTCTTGTTCCTCTCTGATTCAACTCAAATTTTCCATGGATACGTGACAAATTCGCCCAATTAGAAATTTGCCGATTCTAAATTGTAAATTGGGGTCATTTTCAGTTTGACCTAACCGTTGACTCTGTTTTCCCCCCCAATTGCAGGTGTGCTGGGAGAAATTCGCTCGGTACTTCGAGGTGGAGCTGAAGGAAGTGAAGCTGACGGAAGGCTACTACGTCATGGACCCGGAAAAAGCGGTGGAGATGGTGGACGAGAACACCATCTGTGTCGCCGCAATCCTCGGGTCAACGCTCAATGGCGAGTTCGAGGACGTGAAGAAGCTGAACGACCTGCTGATGGAGAAAAACAGCGTGACCGGATGGGACACGCCGATCCACGTCGACGCGGCGAGCGGCGGGTTCATCGCCCCCTTCCTCTGGCCGGAGCTGGAGTGGGACTTCCGCCTCCCGCTCGTGAAATCGATCAACGTCAGCGGGCACAAGTACGGCCTCGTCTACGCCGGCGTCGGGTGGGCGATCTGGCGGAGCAAGGACGATTTGCCCGACGAATTGATCTTCCACATCAACTACCTGGGAGCCGATCAGCCGACTTTCACACTCAATTTCTCCAAGGGTTCGAGCCAGATCATCGCGCAGTACTACCAATTGATCCGATTGGGGCACGAGGGGTACCGAAACGTGATGGAGAATTGCCACGAGAACGCCATGTTTCTCAGGGAAGGGCTGGAGAGGACGGGACGTTTCGAGATCGTTTCGAAGGAAATTGGGGTTCCCCTTGTGGCGTTCTCGTTGAAGGATAACAGCCGGCACGACGAGTTCGAGATCGCCGAGATGTTGAGGAGCTACGGGTGGATTGTGCCGGCGTATACGATGCCGGCGGACGCGCAGCATATTACGGTGCTTAGGGTTGTGATTAGGGAGGATTTCTCGAGGACTCTGGCGGAGAGGCTGGTGCTGGATGTGACTAAGGTGCTTCACGAGCTGGATAATCTGCCGGTGAGGCTTCACGCGAAGACTGCTGCCGTGGTGGAGGAGGAGGCGGCGGCTGTTGTTGTTGCCGCCGGTGAGGGTGGGAGTGGGAGAGTCAACGGGACGTTTTTGAAGAAGACGGAGATTGAGACGCAGAGGGAGATTACGACTTACTGGAAGAAATTCGTGGCCAACAAGAAGAAGAACAACAAGAATACAATTTGTTAGACGAAACGAAACGGCGGTGTTTTGGAGTACTTGATTATGCTAAGTTAAGATGCTGGTTGGGGTTTTGCTTATGAGCTTAATCTCTGCTTAAGTGAAGAGTATTTTTCTTGATAATTTTTGATTTTGTTTTATTAGCAAGCTGAATTGAATTAAGGCATAAGGGTGTGTGTATCTGGATTGTTTCCTATGGATTTATTAATAAAATGTGAAGAAATATGATTTTCATAAGACTTGTTTTAGTTTCTCAAGCGACTTTTTTTATGAGATTGTTGTCAATTGTCATTAATTTATTAGTGTAATCAATAATTGATGTGTTGTGTCGGCTAGTTTCTTTCCTACTTCCCTCGAGTTTTCTAAATATAATAATCAAATGTCTTTTTCTTAAATCAATGTCAATTAAGTATTGGAAATATCTTGATGAATTATTATTGTATTTGCAGCCAGGGACGTGATTGAGCTTAGGTAACCAGAGCGTGGAGCGAGAGCGGGAGCGTCAAAGCGTTTGTTTTTCAAGAACTCAATATTAAAAGCGTGAACAGAGCATAAATATTTTATTATTTTAATCATAAGATATTATATTTCCTCAAAATATATTAGATAATATACGAGCAATATTATCATACTTCACCCTTACAATTGAAATGGATGTGATTTTTTAGTATTCATTAAAAATGTTCCTTGATCTAATGCTAGCATGAAAAAGTGACGGCAAAGTAAAAGTATGAATTAAACCTAACTATTAGATAACTAAGTATAAATAAACATTAGATCAATATTATTAAAATAATAAACAGCAATACATATCCCAACTCACCACCTGCTGTCCTCTCTCATTGTTATTAGTATATATAAAAAATTAAAAACAATCATTATCTCTTAGAAACGAGGCCGTTTGATAGAAATTCCAATTATCCGGCTTTTTTCTTTTCTACGAAAATAGGCATCTCTCTTCTCTTTGGATCCTCCGCCTGCACATAACCCTTTCTTCTCCCCTGTAGCAATTGTACAAACCATCTTATACTCTGTTTTTCTCACCTCTGTCTCTCTATTCTCAGTTTCTTAATCAGTAAATTGTTGATATCTCTCATGCAGTCTCAATTACTCTCATCGTAGTCCCTTTCTCTACCCTTCTGCAATCCGTCGGGAAACATAGGGTGTGAGACATATCTGAGTCCGGATTTCCGGCCGGCATCGGTGGCTCAAATCTTTCCTCCGGTGGATTAATCAATTGGTTTGTCTCAAAGGAAGCATTCCAATTCTTGAAACCCTTGAGGATTGTTCAGCAACGTCAAAATTTGTTGATGGAAGGGAGTTTTGTTCATCTTCCAGCACTGCCAATGATAGGCTTGACAGGATCCGCGATTTTTATTAGAATATTCGCGCTCTGGTCAAACAAAATTCGTGAATTTTAGCTGCTCTAAAAGGAATTCGCGTTTTTGCGAACTAGAGCGCGAGCGTCGGGCTGATGGCAGCGAATTGTGTAACCTAAGATTGAGCTATGTGTGCGACTTGAACTCCTTCCATAACTTTCACGTTTGTACCAAATATATCCATAACTATCGAAATACACAAAATAACCAAAAATTGGATAGTAGTGTGACAAATCTATCCATTTCCGTTACAAACTTTAACGCCGTTAGTGACGCCGTCAGTTATGTTAGTTATACGCTGACTAAGACGCCAGATCAGTACACACGTCATCAAAAAATCAACACCAAATGACACGAAAATTACACATCATATTTACTTACATATATTTAATTTTAGGAAATAAAAATAAAAAATCAATTTCCTAACTCTTCCCCTTCTGCCCCAACTTCTCCTCTCCGCCCCATCTTCTCCCCTTCGCCTACTCTCACTGCCAAAGCAGACATCAAATCCGCCACCACTTATTGTCGACATCTATCCGTCACCACTGCCCACTCCCACCGCC